CATACATACACACATACAGATATACACACATACATGCATACATACATGCATGCATGCATACATACATACATAGTTACGTACATAGATACATACATAGGCAAATACATAGATACATTCATAGATACATACATAGATACATACCTACATACGTACATACCTACATACATACATGCATGCATACATACATACATCCTGAAAACAAACAAACAAACATACATACATACATACATACATACATTTTTAGCACTCGCACTCGACGGGTCAGGCGAGGTACCGGGGAAACATACATACATACATACATACATACATTTGTTACATACATACATACATACATACATACATACACACACACCTCCCCGCCAGCCCAATGTGCCGTGTGTTTGAGTAAGCTGACCCAGTCACGATTCGCGCCTGCGGGTAGTGCCGAGGTTTCTGTATGTTAGTTGTGTTCAGGGGCCCCAGTGATGTCTTTTTCTGCCGGTGTTCGGAGAGAGTTGCTCCGCTTTCTAGACAAAAGAGCAGTCAGTTTTCTCATTAGTCAATATAGGAGATGGAACAGCTCTGCTGTGTATTTCTTAGGCGATAAAGACACCATGAGGCTTTGTGGGATGTCTCAGTATAGCCACTCTCATATTTCGTATCGGAAGAGAGCGAGCCGGCATGAGTTGAAAGTAAACGGGTTCTCCTGTTCGCTGGTGAGAGATGCGTGCGCCTCTTCCACCAAGTGTTCATGGATAGATAGATAGAGAGATATATATATGTATGTATGTATGTATGTATGTACACATAAATAAACAAACAAATAAGTCGCGAATGCTCTCTCTCACCCTATCTCTTCTTCCACACAGCCGAGGAGAAAGCGCGGACACGCTCCCTCCCGCACGCGGGTGCGCCCTGTTGGTCTCGGTCAGTACGTTGTCTCTCTCTATCTCTCTCCCTCTATATATATATACATACATATGCACTGAACACACAAGATGAAGTCAACTATCTCTTCTGTGGTATGGTATGCAAGTACACGCACACCTACATACATATACACATGCATTCATACAACGTGCGCGCACGTTATTAGCACAAATGCCTCCTGCGTACATGCCTAGAGACATACATACATGTATGCAAGTACTTATGCACGCATACCTGCATGCATACATGCGTATGTCCATGTACATGCATACATACATAAATGCACAGATACACATGTACGAATGTACGTGAATGCATGTACCTACCTATCTGCCTTCAGACAGGCAGACAGACAGACAGATGCACGTACACAACAGAAATGTGCATGCACACATGCCTCCATACATACATACATGCATACATA